ACGTCAGGCATTGTTTCTGATAACAACTTTCTGTGGGTCCGCCGCCGATTTGACGTCATATCGGCAGCAAATCTGTATCCGCTCGTTGTACCACCGTTTTTAGAGATTTGGGTACGGAGGAAAAGAGAAAGGGTTTTATTTTCTGACGCTGCGTGAGTTCCCCGACACACCGGGGACACATGTTTATGTATAAAAGACATCACAAAGTGCATTTTGCATGACAGGTCCCCTAAGTACATTGAAAATAAGTAAACACATATAATAATAATAATAATACATGTTATTTAGAGACACCTTTCAAAGCAACCAAGGACAGCTTACAGTTCAGGGAATACAAACGGTACAAAAGGACAGAAAGGGGACACGTCGCTTTACAGTGAGCTTTAGACATATCACTGAAACATACCTGGTTAAAAATACTAATATTTCAGTGTTATCTTTTTATAGGAAATATCTCACCAGAGAAAACATGAATTTCTCACAGGACATAAAGCGATCATGTGATGCACATTTTGACTTGTTATAATAATATAAATGAATCATATATTTATTATAAGTGTCTGACCTGTTGCACTCGCTGCAGAGAGCCGTGAGGAAGATGGAGAGGAAGACGAGGAGGAGGAAGAAGAAGACGCCTGAAGACAGCAAGACATCGACCTCTGACCCCACAGGCGCCATTATCCTGAGAGAGGAGAAGAGGAAGAGGAGGAGGAAGAGGAGGAAGAGGAGGAAGAGTGTCATGATCTGTTTATTTTCAGTTATTTTTTAATAGTCACAGATCCCGTTTTACTTTGAAAGGTGTTCACCCCGTGTCTGTGTTTTCCCTCCTGTCTGATTGGCTGATTGTGTTTCCCCCCCCCCTGTGTCTCACCTCCCCTCTCCAGCTGTGTCTTGTCTTGTGATTACCCTTGTGTGTATTTAGCAGTGGCGAACCGTGTCTATCACAACTGGACCTTCTGTAGACACACACACACCCCCTCGCCCCCCGCCGTTATAATGTCCGTCTTTTCACTGAATGGTCGTCTTGTAAAGGGCACTGACAACAATTCCGCAACAACATCATCTTCACCTGTTTCCATTTCAACGTTAAAAACAATAACACTTCTAATTAATTGCTACGTCGCATTTCTCTAGATCCTCTGTCTCTCTCCAGTGAACTAGCGGGTCTTCTAGAGCACCTGGAACCGAGGGAAACTCTGAGAGAACACGCCCATTGGCTACAAATCAATATATGATTGGTTGATCAACCTGTCAATCAAAGGCTCTCATTCAGTGTGAGGGCCAGGGCCTTCTATCAAGGATACAGAATACTTTGGTTGAAGGATATTCTACCCAGAGACCCAGACCCTTTTCTAACACAAAACCACTGAAATGCGTAGTGCATGGACCGAGAAGGAGAAACAAATCAACGTAACACTGTGATATTACAGATCAACAACACAGATACCATTCTCATTTATTCATTTTATTTACATTTTATTTATATAATTAAATAGAGTTTTATCTGAGTGTTCCAGGGTATTCTCTGAATACCTTGAAGGCCCTGACGGTTCGCCACTGGTGTTTAGTCTTGCTTGCCCTCGTGTCCCTTGTCAGTTCGTCATGGTTTCATGGTGGTTCGGTTGTTGTTGTTGTCGTGCTCCTGATGTTCCTGATCTGAGGCCTGTACTACGAAGCTGGATGTTCTCTTAGCGGCTAACTTCAGGGAAAACTCTGGCTTTCCGGTCCTACGACACTGGTTCTCTTTTTAGCGGGCTAGATCTCCATGGTAACTTATGCTGAGCGGCTAACCTCCTCGGGAGGAGGTTAGGTTGCAGGCTAAGAGATCAACTCAGTGAAAGCACCGCCTGCTGACCAATCAGAGCTCCGTGTGTGGAGTTTAAAGCGATCAACTCATATTACAGGATAGAGGAAATACAGAAAAACTGCCGTTGCAGGAAAGACGGCCGGCAAAAATCAACTGACTGTGTGAACGTGAAAATTAATAGAATATCCCCTCCCATCTTCAGAGCAATCTGACTATTATAACATTAGCGTTAAGAAAGCTTACTTAAATATCTGCCACGACATAAGTAACCGGATCAGAGTAACATTACAGTCCGCGGCACTGTGAGTGCAGACGTCGATGTGTCCCATTATCATTCATATCATATCACATCATAATGTATCATATATTTCCTTATCTGAGTCAGCTGAGCCGTATCTGGCCGTGCAACACTCACAGTGTCACATACTGGATGCAGAAGTATTATTTTAAGCAACACATTAAGTTGACGAAACACTAGAGTCAAATGTAATTAAAGTCAGATCCACTCGTGTCTTAGACGGGGCAGTGATTTCATAAACCTGTTAATGTACGCATTCAAACGCTTTTTCTTTTACCAGCTGTATTCACCTTGCAGGTGCAGCTATGTGGCTTTTATCCTGGATAAAGTGTTTAAGTCATGGATGTTTAAAGTTTAACTTCTTCATATTTGTCTAATATTAAAGTTCACTTTTCATTCAGGAAGTATGACGCTGCGCTGTCAGTACGGTTGTCCATGTTTGAGATTGGTCGAATGCTCCAAATACCACCCCTTTCATGTGAACGCGCACCTAACTAGATAGGACACGGCTAGCTTGAGCGATCCACTTGATAACCCGTGTCGTAGGACCGCTTAGCGAGAGCGCGTATGTTTTGGATTGGGCCAACCGGCTAACTCAAACATATCCAGGTTAGGTTGAACCGGCTTCGTAGTACAGGCCTCTGCCCTCCTGTGTACGGTTTGTTGTTGTTTTGTTTGTTTATTTCCTTCTTGTTCCACCTTGCCCGTTTTCTGGCTGTAAACCAGCTTTTATTTGAATAAAAGCTCGCCTTTATTTACATCCCCTTAACCTGCCTACCTGTTTGACTGCTTTGGGTCCTATTCTGTACGAACACACCTGAACACACCTGTACACACCTGTACACACTGCAATGCATCATGGGAACTCTTTTTGCATTCTTTAGGTTACTGATTTATTCTAAACAATAATCTTCGTTGTAAAGAAAGCACTTTGAACTGTGTTGAAAGTTCTGTATAAATAAACTCACCTTGCCTTTTCAGGAGTTTCACAAAGCGTTTATACTTCCTCACTGCTGATGGATTTATACAAAATAACCAAACATAGGTGCTAAATCAGGTTTGTGGTGAACACAAGATGAAGAGACTTTAACGCTTTAATCTACGACATAAAATACGTCAGTAAATATGCTGCATATTGGAGACATGAAACTAGAAATTGAGGCTTTAAACTCATCAGGAAAATGATAATTAGGTAATAAATGGAGTGGGAAGGAGCAACACTTTCTCATAGACTTCTATACAATCTAAAATAAACATATTATAACGTTTATATTTAGTTCAAACTCAATACTATAGTTCGTTTCCTGAACTTTCAACACTTGGTTTTATTGTAAATGAGAAGTAGTGTCATTTTCTCATAGACTTCTATTCAATTTCTTTAGCTTTCACTGATTTATGGGACGACACTTTATTAAATGAACATCATGAAGTATTGAATAAGACTTGAAGGTAGAGATTGAGAACATGAACTCATCAGGAAAATGTTAACTAAGGTAATAAATCAGGTCACATTGGGTCACAAGACATATACTTCTAGACAATCTGACTTCTTTTAGCAGCCAGTGAAGTTTAATGCCATAATTACACAATACATATATTATTAAAGTTTACATTTAGTTCAAACTCAACACTTTTTTGACTCTCTTAACACTTGTTTCTATTGTAAATGAGAAGTAAGGTCATTTTCTCATAGACTTCTATACAGTCTGGCTTCTTCTTGCAAACAGTGGAGAGCGTTTCACTTTAGAAATCTTGAATTTAGTTCAAACAACTCTTTAATTAGAACAATAATTGCATTTCTTAGTGATAATCATTTTCTCATATAACTCTCAATAAAAGGCTTCAATACAATCTTTTGAGCAACTATTGAAGTTAAGTGCACAATACTTGAAAGTTTACATTACGTTCAAACTCAACCCTTATTTCTCTTATAAATGAGAAGTAGGGTCATTTCCTCATAGACTTCTATACAGTACAATCTGACTTCTTCTTGCAAACAGTGGAGTGTATTGCAAAGAAACCACACCTTTTTTAATCTCTTATTTAAAGTGGACCTATCATGCTATATTTAAAGTGGACCTATCATGCTATATTTGAATAATATAGTGTAGGACCATACCTACAGTATATAAGGCATATTTATACTTTTTCTTTTTCAAAATACCAAACAGATCATGCATTTTAGCCATGCCTCATTTTGCTCAATTTGACAATTTATAGCTCTGTTTTTGCAAGGGCAGATTCAGTGAGAACAGCACCACCTACTGGCCTGGCATATGTACTACAGCGTCTCCAGCGCTTTCGAACGGCAATGGCCGTGGCTGTCTCCTCCTGATTGGTGGAGTTGGCCCAATAGCCGTAGCGCCACCGTCCTGACGTCAGGACAGTGTTCAAATCTGGATCAGTTTTTATCAGATCCGTTGCAGCCCCTTTTTTAGAGATTTGGGTATGGAGGAAAATAGAGAGGGTTGTGTTTTCTGACACTTGGTGAGTTCCCTGGAACACCGGGGACACATATTCATGTATAAAAGACGTACAAAAGTGCATTTTGCATGATAGGTCCCCTTTAAGTGAGAAGTAGGTTCATTTTCTCGTAGACTTCTATACAATTCTTTAGTTCAACATCTCCCTACTGGATATAAGAGAGAAGGTTTAAGGCACTTTTTAGACCTGGATTTTCACTGATATTCTGGTATTTCTCCTCTAATGTGTGTCTTTATTTATTTTGTATTACTTGATGTTACCTATGAATATCTGTACCATCAAATAAAATAGAAAAAGCCCCAAAAAAGAACCAAGAAAAGTTGAATATCAGGTTAGAAACTCCAACCATTCTCTGTTTGCCATGGCTTCTGGAGTAACCCTCGCCCTCTGTTGTTCTCTCTCTGAATACGTCTCTTAGACAAACAGCAGACAGTAAATTAAAATGTCCTCAGGCTGTTTTACTTTCTGTGAACACGCCAAATCAAACGGAGATCTTTCCACAGGGAGGAGGAACAGGTTCAAACAGAAGACTGCAGTCTCTCAGACATTTGAATGTTAGTGTTGTATGCAGAAACCTGACGGCCGCTTCATGGGAATAAACATTAATGAATGATAGACGGACGATCAAAGGTCTCTGTGAGATATAAATAATACGGTTATAAATGTTGAATAACACGGAGTCACGATGGCTGAAACTATTCCCTTTCAACACAAGTCAATAAACTGTAATATATACATTTTTACATCATTATTATTTCTTATATGTTTTAACATTTTTACTTTAACTTGTGTTTGAAATATGTTTATGCTATTTCTTTTTTTATTGAAGACTTTTGATTGATCGTTTTATATTCGTAGAAATATTTGTATCTTATTTTACTTATTTTCTACTACATGTTTTTAATTGTAAAGGTAATTGAAATACTTGTATTCTATTTTATAACATTTTAATTCATCTTTCAACGCACATTTTTACTTAAACTTATTAATTATAGATATTTGTATTCTTATACATGTCACTTGTTAGACGCTTTTATCCAAAGCGACTTCCATACTCAATACTGTGGACAATCCCCACAGGAGCACTTTGGGGTGAAGTGTCTCAGGGACACAACGACATGCTGACTGCAGTGGGGTTTGAACCTGTGACCCCCTGGAGTGGAGTGCACCAGCTGGGTGTAAGACTGGTCGTAACTCTACGTCCGACGTAGAACCGAAGGTTAAGACCAAACTTAAGTTATGATTAGTGCACCACTTAGACTTAAGCCCTGTATGCGTTGCGCCTGGGTGTAACTTTTATGCCTAGTATGGAGCAGGCGTAAATCGGAAAGACAGACTAGTATCCATGGTAACGTAAAACAGAAAAGAAGGAAAATAACGATGGCAGGGCGTCTTGTTTACAGGTTTAACAACGAAAGGGCATTAAGAATAGAAAGAGTCGTCTGTGATCGAACAAACCCACTGGACATCTATTCGGACAGTGAGCTGATAGAAAGGTTTCGTTTCGGCAGAAAAGCCCTTTATGAATTAATCGAGGAGATCTCCCCTCAACTCCAGCACGGATCAGACTGAAGCGCTGCGCTCTCCCCAACCTAGCTTGCTTTGAATGGAGATGTTTGAGTGTTAAATTATGTAGACGTGCGTTGCTTGGCAACAATTACTGTTTTGCGTGTATTCACGTTGACGCGCATCTTAAGACTAGGCGCAGCTACGACCGTGACTAGTCAGTGACTTGGTGCACTCGGTGTAAATTCAAATCACTAATGGCGCATTTCCACTACACGGCCTCGCTCGGCCCCGCTCGGTATGGCTAGGCCTCGTTAGGGCCTTGTTAGGACTGGCTCACTTTATGCCGCATTTCCATTACAATTTAGGAACTGGGGTAGTATCTATAGTAACGCAGTGTAGGCGGAGCCGTGACGTCATCTTCAATGAGAACCCCAGAAAAACAACACAGCCGTTAGCTGTTAGCACTCAGAGCTCACAGCTCCTCATATATGTTCAGAAACTAGACAAAAGTTAAACAAGTACAAACCACAGACTGCCTGTGTCATGGTGAATACAGTCGCTGCTTTATTTATGTCTGTAGGCCGTTGTTGTGAGTGTGGACGGTCGGAGCATATACTGCGTTAGCTTAGCCAATCTCCATTTAGAAAACAAGCATTTTAAAAGATTTTTCGCCTGCCGTCTGTCTGCAGACTCGTCAAAGCATTAATTCATGGTTTTTACTAACCGGTATCAGTATGTTGTTACTTCGGCATCATTTTGAAACGTGTATTACAATTAAATCACGGTCAAATATGTTCATCTTGTTGTAGTTGTAGCCCCCTTGCCAGCGATTCTCTCTCTCTAGTTTAGCATACTCAGCCCGATTCAGCCTGGTTGTTGGCCCGGAAAGAACCTCGATTTTATGGGCTCGATTTTACCGCTAGCCGGTACTACGCTAAGTGGAAACGCAACCAAAAACGGACCCCCGCACGGCTCGGCACGCTTAAAGCGAGCTCCGCGCTGTAGTGGAAATGCGCCATAAGTCGCACTAGTCCACTGCGCCACAGCCTCCATACTAATACTAAATATTAGAAGTAATGCAGGTTTAGACCCGGATTATGCAGCGTGATTCTCACTGATATTCTAGCACTGTTACCCATGTGTGTGTTTTTCTATTTATTTTATTTAAAAAAAGCAAAAATAAATATTTACAGCTAAACGTCATCCCATCTTTGGAGCTTTTACTAAAAAAGAAAAGAAACACAAAGATCTGAGAATGTATTTGTACTAGGGCTGTCAAGTTAACGCGTTAATAACGCGTTAACGCAAAAAGAAATTAACGCCACTAATTATTTTAACGCGATTAACGCATGTGTATTTTTTGTCCTCGGCCGCCCCGTAGTTTCAGAGCGCATCGAGTTTAAAATACCATCTACAAGCTGATGCTGACAGCCCCGCTCCTGCCGCCCGCTTGTGGCAGACCACACTACCACGCTCACTGGCAGGCCCGGACTGGCCATCGGGAGGACCGGGAGGGAGTGTGTTTGTGTGGCGCGACTCGCGCGAGCGAGGCACACCTTACGTGTTGTTGTTGTTGTTAGCATCTGGTGCTAGCTAGCTGCGCTAACGGATATAAGGAGCTGTTTCAATGACATTTCGCCGACAACTGCGCCGAGCACTTGACTTTATGCAGGTAGCCAGACAGTGGGACATTGTACGAAAAGTCAGCGCACTCAGCACGGATAGTACGCGCTACATGATCGCAGCGTCCAGGCAGCTCCCATTCGAGCATATATGCCTTGAGCGGCACATAGCTCCAACGATCCATCAGTGTCTCCACATTCTCACACACACACACACACACACACACACACACACACACACACACACACACACACACACACACACACACACACACACACACACACACACACACACAGTATTATTGTATGAGAGAGGTTCCAGGTTGAATTGAGGCGATGTAATGTTCAGGTTGTTGTGTTTAATATTCATGAGAATATTTGTCATTGTTCAAATGATAATAAACAAACATATAAAGCATATTTGTCCACTCATATGTTGATAAGAGTATTAAAAACTTGAAAGATATCCCTCTAAGGTACATTTAGAACAGATAAAAAATGTGCGATTAATTTGCGATTAATCGCGATTAACTATGGACAATCATGCGATTAATCGCGATTAAATATTTTAATCGACTGACAGCCCTAATTTGTACGCCAAACCGACTCAACGTGAGGTGATATACAAGAATACCATTAGAAGCTAAATATAACATGTGTGTGAAGACCTCACTTCCAAACAGCACAGCAGATATTTACCTTTCAGTTTGTCTCAGAGACGGTGAAGCAGATCTGAATCATCCTGATGGACGCCTGCAGGGACACAAACAACGAGAGGGGAAATATAAATGCTAAGATGCTAAGATGCTAAAAGAGTTATTGAATTACATCCTCGTGGATTCATCTTCTTATTATAGACACATGCATTTCCAAACATTTGGTCTACCTATGCTGTAAAATGTATTATCTCTTCGATGTACACCAACACAGTCTCACGGCATTTCGTGTTATAGTCACAAAATTAATCTATTGATTCGTGTTCACCAACACGATTTCGCCATTTTTTTCGTGTCACACAACGATTTTAAAAGCAATGTAAATAATAACAAATTAGAAGGAAAAACAGATTTAAAAAAAATACAGATGTCAGTATTCTGAGGCTCTGAGCCCCATTTATTTTCCTCACGGACGGCAAGAAATCTCCGACATTATACAATTTAAAATAAAAGGGATAGGGTTAGGCTTAGGGTAAGATATTGAGTAAGAACATGTTTTTATGAACCACACAGCTTCTGGTCTTCCAAGACCCGACCGGACAAAAAGACGTGTTGCAGGCACGAAACATACTACCAATAGAAATACATTGCATTTAAAATCGTTCTGTGTGACACGAAAAAAAGGCGAAAATCGTGTTGGTGAACACGAATCAATAGATTACATTAATTTCGTGACTATAACACGAAATGCCGTGAGACTGGGTTGTGTACACATGGCATCTATTGCACGTCTGTCCTGGGAGAGGGATCCCTCCTCTGATGCTCTCCCTGAGGTTTCCCCTTTAAACTGTGGGGTTTCTTTGGAAGTGAAGTGTGAGGGTCTAAGGACAGAGGGTCTAAGGACAGAGGGTCTAAGGTCAGAGGGTGTTGTATTGTCATACTGATATTCTGTACAAACTGTGAAGTCCACTGAGACACATGTGATATTGGGCTATATAAATAAACATTGATTGATTGATTGATAATGCTATGATCTGAGCATCTTTTAGTAACAAGCGTTTTCACCTTCAGTGGAGAGAGTTACACAACGAGTCTGATCTCCAATCTGTCCATTACATATGAATCTGCAGATAGCAACTGGTTAGCTTAGCATAGCGTAAAGTGTTGCAGTGCTATCAGACAACAGCATCAGTGTGAACAACGCTAACGCAGCACACTCCCAAATATCCAAAGATCGAACAGGAGTCAATAAAACTTCTATAGCTAGGGTGACCAGGTCCCAACAAACCAAATGTGGGACAAGGAGTATGTTTGTGTGGGACAATGTGGGACACCCTCTCAACACCCCCCCCCCCCCCCCCACCCGTTGAACATGTACTAGCGGTGATTATTTGCGGTACCGAGGTGGGCCGGTCGAGAGTCCCGGGCTGATTTGTAGTCCCAGTCCGCCGCTGCCCACGGGTAAATGTCTTCCCAGTCTTTGTTGTATGTGCATCTTCTTCTTTTCTTAGCTGTAGTTTCAGTTTTCATAACCTGCTGCGTCGCCTGCGTTATTGACTTTCATTGTTGTTGTTTGGCGGGGCCGCGGCGGTGTGTGTGTGAGTGAGTTACTCTCATTGGTTAACACTTGACCAGCACCCGCCGTGTCTTACAGTTTGATTGACAGCAAACACAGCTCCGTGATGATAGCCTTCCCTGCTTTCTCAACAGCCATTGGATAAATCTGATTTTAGAAAAGCGTTTTAGCCAATCAAAATGAAATATGCGGGACATCGTCTCAATTTGCGGGACGCACCAAAAGTCGTGAAAATGCTGTGCAGTCCCGCGCAAAGCGGGACATCTGGTCACCCTATCTATAGCACGTAGCATGCAATTGCTAACATGCTAAACATTAAAAACCATAATTAGCATATTAGCATGTTATGTGTTTCTGTTAAACTCTGCAGGTTTATTTACAAAGAAACATGAATGAAAGCTTTGAGTAAAATGCATATACATAATATATAATACCTAAAAAGCACCTGTTTCTGATATGATATTGATATTAGTCATACATGATCACATTATAACTTCATGTGTCCGTATGTGAACTTACTATATTATAACTCATGTTAAATCATGTTGATGCCATAAATGCACATTTGCCACATGTTCCTTATATATATGTCAAATATATATGATTTGTTTGATTTCTATATGATCTATATTTCTATAGTTTGTCTCTAACAGCATATACATTATTGTATAAATCACCAATACGTTGTTTCTGCAGTAAACACCGTTTATAAAGTAAATACGTATCTGTCCTTTATTTCCGTGGTATCTCTGATATTCAAAGTAAACAACACGCCTTCCTCCTAACATTTAAATTATTTAAACAATACTGAGCTTCTTTTCAAGACTTTAAAAACTAAAAGAAATACACAGAGAAGTTGAAATGAATATATAAGTATTGATAACGTATATATTTGTGTGGATCCTACCTGTGTGGCAGCAGCTGTGAGCTCAGCTTCAAACTGAGAAGTGTTTCTGCTCCGTTGATCATTGACAGGCTGAACAAACACTGAGAGGCTTAAACACACACACACACACACACACACACACACACACACACACACACACACACACACACACACACACACACACACACACACACACACACACACACACACACACACACACACACACACACACACACACCATAGGTCTGCAACGATTATTAACAGATAAGTATTATAGATAATAAATTAATTGTTCAAGTGTTATATTGTGCAAAAGTGTGACATGATACTGCTAGCATAGCTAAATTAAAGCAGCTTATTCATGCACTTGTAAATATTTAGCTTCAAAAACATGCCTTTTTTTCAAACTAGCAGAAAGAAAACATCAAATCCCAGGTGTTTCAAATGCAGAAGTTTATTTCACTAACTTTGTCTCTCTGAAACTCACCAAAAGTCAACATTACATAACGCCTCATTTGCATATTCAAACATAACATGCCAGAAAACCTGTAATATAATGGAGTTGGTGTCAGGAAGGAAGTGGGGACGTTTCATGGTGATATCTGTTAGTTACATTTATTACACTGTTCACCCATAATGAGTAGAGAACAGACACTTTTATACACACTTGGTGACTAAAAACATGCAGGAAATGACTTTTTATTGCAGTATTTCCTGATGCAGTGGAGACTCTGTAAAAACCTTGGACTCTCATATGTCAACAAAACAAACCTGGCTTTATCCAATGTTCACTTTAATTGCACTGGACATGTACGCAAATGAGCACATATTTATTACATATTTGCATGTTTAAACACAACATTAAACTCTAAAATGAGTTGAATATGTCGTTCATGGACCTCAGACCCATGTGTAACATCACATTGTTTTATAGCTTGTACTCAGTTATTATTTGATAAAAGGACTTTAGACTGCAGTAACGTTGGTGTAATGTCCACTATAAATACAGTTTGACTCATGGACAAAATAAACAGTGAATATTCAGAGTGTTTTTCCAGCTCAGAGGGAGGGTTCAGGGTTGATATGGGTGCGACTGATAATGTCCTTAAAGGAAACTGGAGGATTATCAGCGTCTCCGCCCAAAACTCTGCAACCGCCACGTTCTGCTCGAGCGCCGGAGCGAGATAACAGAAGGGAAAAACAAACCACGTGATGGACTGCTTCTGCTTTCTGTGAGACGACGTTCAGTTTAATGCAGATGTTAATAGATCTTTGTTCAGAGGATTGTGTTTAGATTCAAGGTAACAGATAAATAGTTCAGGTTCAGGTTCAAGGGATTCCAGTTCATGCATTTGCTTTTTAGCTTGATTACTGCAGCAGTGTTGTTACAAGTGAAAAATCAATCATGAGTCCTCACCCAAACCAGAAGAAGGTACCCCAGTTCTCAGAGCTCCTCACTGGCTTCCAATAACACCAGAAATACACTTTAAAATCTCACTTTTAACTCATTAATAGGGTGTCATGGGGTTAGGGTCCAGTTCAGGTGGTTCAGGGTCAGATTATACTGTTTCAGGTGGTTCAGCTTTGGGTGCTGGTTCAGGGTTAGGGTTCAGATGGTTCAGATTCAGGTGGTTCAGGTTCAAAGTGGTTCAGATTCAAGTGGTTCAGGTTCAGAAGGTTCTGGTTCTGGTTCAGGTTGAGGAGGTTCTGGTTCATAGGGTTAGATTCTGGTTTGGTTGGTTCAGATTCAGGAGGTTCAGATTCAGGAGGTTCAGGTTATTGTTCAGGTTCAAGTAGTTCAGGTTTAGGGGATTCTGGTTCCAATTCAGGTCTAGGTACATTTGATTTTGGTTATAGTGGTTCAGATTGAAGTGGTTCAGGTTCAAGTGGTTCTGGTTGTGTTGGTTCAGATTGAAGTGGTGCTCGTTCTAAAGGTTCTGGTTCTGGTTCAGGTGTGGTGTATCCTGGCCCAGACGCAGGTGCAGCCCACAGCCACAGACCGGTACGAGGCGGTGTAGCATCGTCCTCCGGGCCTCCTTGTCAGAACCAGAACGTTCTGCAGGACGGGGACTGAGTTCAGCTTATGCCGGTCCGTCTGCTTGTTGGGACTCAAACAGAAAGAGCTGCTGCACTCGGCCTCCCAGAGCGTGGAGGGGATCCGGTTCAGATCTGTGGAGGTCCTGAACCAAAAATAGATGCATTATTATTGTTATTCTTTTCTCTTAAAGGTCTCCTATCATGCAAAATGCACTTTATGATGTCTTTTCTACATCACTATGTGTCCCCGGTGTGTCCCCGGTGTGTCCCCGGTGTGTCCCCGGTGTGTCCCCGGTGTGTCCCCGGTGTGTCCCCGGTGTGTCCCCGGTGTGCCCCCGGTGTGCCCCCGGTGTCAGGAGACTCACAAAGTGTCCGAAAATACAACCCTCTCTCTTTTCCTCCGTACCCACATCTCTAAAAACGGGGGAACAACGGAGCTGATCCAGATTTTCTGATATGACGTAATATCTGAAATGTGGGCGGGCTTTACACCCACGGGCCTATCAGAAACGTTGCTGTCAGAAACAATGAGACGTGTTCTGGAAGTAATATGGTCTGTGTTTACAGACCCAGAATCAGCACTTTAGTAACAGCTGAAATAGAGGGGTTTGAGCCAATCACTTCATAGACATGTTTTTTATATATTTTTATATATCTGAGACCTATAATATATGCCTTAAACTAGTATAATAAGAGACCTTTAACTATTATCATCATCATTATTATAAATATGAATGTCGCACCTCCAGATCCAGGGCGACAGAGATCTGCGGTGGATGTCTCTGTTTCCTTCAGACGACGAGGAGACGGAGGAGGAAAACGCCAACAAGGAGTCACAGGAAGGAGGAAGAGGAGGAAGAGGAGGAGCTTTAACGATAGAGGAGGAGGCGGCCTCTACCCACAATGCACTGCAACACACCTGAGGACAGTAGAGAGGGATTGTACATTAAAATGAGCCGCACGGTTAAAAATTAAAGTCTAGTATGTCGAATATTACGGTGCATTTCAACTCAATTTGTCCACTGCAGTTCAGAGGTACATGGTGTACTTCTACTCCACTACAGTTCAGTGGTACATGGTGTACTTTTACTCCACTACAGTTCAGAGGTACATGGTGTACTTTTACTCCACTCCATGTATTTAATACCTTTAGTTACTTCACAGATGTGGATTAATGATGTGAAATATAACCAAGTGTTAAATCAGACTTTAGTTCCACCTGGAGTAAATCCACAAGCTACCCTGCAGTATACAAAGTCATTCAAACTAGCTGCACCTTTACCAGCTTTGAGAACACTTTCATGATCAATCATTATAAAACATATCATATATATTATTCTGAAATGGACCAATCTGCACAATGACTACTTTTACTGTCGCTACTTTAACTATATTTTGATGATAATACTTTTCTACTTTTACTTGAGGAACATTTTGAATGCAGGACTTTTACTGAAACAGAGTATTCCTACACTCTGGTACTTCTACTTTTACTCAAGTACAAGATCTGAGTACTTCTACTTTTACTCAAGTACACGATCTGAGTACTTCTACTTTTACTCAATTACACGATCTGAGTACTTCTACTTTTACTCAATTACACGATCTGAGTACTTCTACTTTTACTCAATTACAAGATCTGAGTACTTCTACTTTTACTCAATTACAAGACCTGAGTACTTCTACTTTTACTCAATTACAAGATCTGAGTACTTCTACTTTTACTCAATTACAAGATCTGAGTACTTCTACTTTTACTCAATTACAAGACCTGAGTACTTCTACTTTTACTCAATTACAAGATCTGAGTACTTCTACTTTTACTCAAGTACAAGACCTGAGTACTTCTACTTTTACTCAATTACAAGATCTGAGTACTTCTACTTTTACTCAATTACAAGATCTGAGTACTTCTACTTTTACTCAATACAAGATCTGAGTACTTCTACTTTTACTCAATACAAGATCTGAGTACTTCTACTTTTACTCAATTACAAGATCTGAGTGCTTCTACTTTTACTCAATTACAAGATCTGAGTACTTCTACTTTTACTCAAGTACAAGACCTGAGTACTTCTACTTTTACTCAATTACAAGATCTGAGTACTTCTACTTTTACTCAATTACAAGATCTGAGTACTTCTACTTTTACTCAATACAAGATCTGAGTACTTCTACTTTTACTCAATACAAGATCTGAGTACTTCTACTTTTACTCAATTACAAGATCTGAGTACTTCTACTTTTACTCAATACAAGATCTGAGTACTTCTACTTTTACTCAATACAAGATCTGAGTACTTCTACTCAAGTATTTAAGTCCTATTTCGATGCATTTTAATACACATTTTTACTCTATTCTACATGAATGAATCCTCAGAACTCAGAGGGATAAATTAAATATAATAATGAAGTTTTACTCACCAGCAGCAGCAGCAGCTTCATGGTGTCTCCGGAGAGTTTTAAAGAGTTCTCTGGTTGTCTTCTGTGAGATCAGGAGGTTTTTAAAGAGTTCTCTGAGAATCTGCTGTGAGATCAGGAGGTTTTTAAAGAGTTCTCTGAGAGTCTGCTGTGAGATCAGGAGGGTTTTAAAGAGTTCTCTGGTTGTCTTCTGTGAGATCAGGAGGGTTTTAAAGAGTTCTCTGGTTGTCTTCTGTGAGATCAGGAGGGTTTTAAAGAGATCTCTGAGGGAGATTCCTCTTATCTTCTTATCTTCTCATCTGCACCTCAGGCGTATGCAGACGGAGAGATTTGAAAACTTTTTCTGATAAGATCTGAATGATCGTAAACCAGTATCAGGTTCTCAGGATGAACCGCTGATAATCACACCACAGAAGAAGAAAGAGAAACCCCCTGCGGTGACAAAAAAAACCCTCTGCTTTAATTTCAATTTATTTTATTTTGAAAACCTTAATTCAAATGAAACAGAAAGAAGCACCATGTTAGAGATGTGTCATCTGTGTGTGTGTGTGTGTGTGTGTGTGTGTGTGTGTGTGTGTGTGTGTGTGTGTGTGTGTGTGTGTATCTGCGTGTGTGTGTGTGCGTGTGTGTGTGTATCTGCGTGTGTGTGTGGCGTGTGCGTGTGCGTGTGTGTGTGTGTGCGCGTGTGTGTGCACGTGTGTGTGTGTGCGTGTGTGTGTGTGTATCGTGTGTGTGTGTGTGCGTGTGTGTGTGTGTATCGTGTGTGTGTGTGTGCGTGTGCGTGTGCGTGTGCGTGTGTGTGTGTGTCTGTGTGTGTGTGTGTGTGTGTGTCTGTGTGTGTGTGTGTGTGTGCGTGTGTGTGTATGTGTGTGTGGTGTGTGTGTCTCTCTGTGTGTGTGTGTGTGTGTGTGTGTGTGTGTGTGTGTGTGTGCGTGTGTGTGTGTATCTGCATGTGTGTGTGTGCGTGCGTGTGTGTGTGTGTGTCTGTGTCGGTGTGTGTGTGTGTGTGTGTGTGTTTGTGTGTGTGTGTGTATCTGCGTGTGTGTGTATCTGCGTGTGTGTGTGTGCGTGTGTGTGTGTTTGTGTGTGTGTGTGTGTCTGTGTGTATGTGTGTGTGTGTGTGTTGTGTTGTCTCTGTGTGTGTGTGTGTGTGTGTATGTCTGTGTGTATGTGTGTGTATCTGCGTGTGTGTGTGTGTGTGTGTGTGTGCGCGTGTGTGTGTAGTAGGTTAAGGTCATTCAGGTCAAGGTTCAGCTGTGGTCTTATGGCCCAGACGCCACACATGCTTCATATTTAAAATGTCAAAAAGACATGAAGCAGGAATGAGACGGATCTAACTCAATTCGTTTTTTGTATAGGATGGAGATAATATCTTCGATCAACATTTCTCTGAGTCACATCCGTCTGTTATGTTTGATGCAACAGCAGAAACCTATTAACAAATATATTTGATTCACTTCGAAGCCCCTCGATTCTGAGAGGTTTCCCCTCTCTCTCTGTTCTCTGCAGGATGTGACTCTGCTGCATCATCACCATCACGTATCTGTGTGTGTGTGTGTGTGTGTGTGTGTGTGTGTGTGTGTGTGTGTGTGTGTGTGTGTGTGTGTGTGTGTGTGTGTGTGTGTGTGTGTGTGTGTGTGTGTGTGTGTGTGTGTGTGTGGTAGCTTAAGGTCATTCAGGTCAAGGTTCAGCTGGTCTTATGGCCCAGACGCCACACATGCTTCATATTTAAAATGTTGTGTGTAATTTAAGAAATCAGTTTCTCTTTCCAGCACTTACTTTTAAATGTTATGAGAGAAGCGGTGTTATTATTATTTGTTTGTGTAAAATTGAGTCTGAAGGGCCGACAATAAGGGATAAATGGCACCAAATAACATAAAAATAGCCAGAAAATGTCTTATTGACCAGAAAATAAAACACAAATTAAATAAATAATGATTTGTTTACATATAAAATGGAAAGAAATCATAAAATAAAAAAAAAGCAACTGATAAATTATAATTAAAAAACATCTCATTTGCATTACGAGCACTGCAAACCAGCCAATGCTAATGCTAATGCTAATGTGTATGTTACGTTCCCTCCAAAATCTAGGGGTACGAAGGGGAGTAACAAAACACAGAACGACCAGCACGAGAAAAAAGAGAGGAAACTGATCTCTTTGTTCACACATGAGATTGAATCCAACAATAATGGACAACCAGGTCCCACACAGAGACCCAAGACGACGTGCTGCACCCATGCAGCCAGAGGAGAAAGGGAGAGCGACTGCAGCCTTCCTCAGGTCCTATATGGAGGCCCTGATTGGGGATTGGGAGCACCTGGGAGAGAGGCTGCACCTGGAGAATCAGAGGGAGAGAGAGAAAGACACACACACACCCACACACACACTACGGCACGTAACAGTGTACAAACAATGTGTAAATAGTAAGAGTATTGTAATAGTAAAATCATAAAGGTGGTTAAACATAATTCCCCTCACTTAACCCATAGAGCATGTATATTTATTAATACCTTTTTATTGCAGATATTGTGAACAGGGGGCGATCCAATGCATGCGGTCAGCTTCCTGTTTACCATATAAGGAGCTGAGCTGGCCCCGCCCCCTTCTGTGACGTCACAGCAGTGGTTTCAGTGATGTGGTGACGACCTGGTTTCACTCACAGAGGAAACCATGACTCGGGTTAATTACCGTCAGCGCTTTTTATAACTAAGCCTGTCCGTCTGTAACTGTCGTTATCGTCGTCATTAAAGAACAGGAAATACAATTAACAACTTTTTCACAGTTTATATTAAAAGAAAGACTTAATGTTGAAGTCCTGAAGGTGGCGCCATGTTGCACCTGCAATATATAACACAATAAATAATGCTTTATAAGAAACTAAAGAAAACACGTTATTGTATTTACCTCTCTTTTGGTGCATCGTATTTAATTCATCACATGTCCGGGGTGTCAAACTCTATTTCATCGCGGGCCACTCAACCTTGGGCCACTCAAAGGGCCGGTTGTAACTTTAAGACTATATAAATATACATATATATATATTTAATATATATATAAAATAAAATAATATGACATTATTGCCTCTGCATTGGATTATTATCGGATAGGGTAATAACTTCATAATGAATTACGTCTGAAAGCAGAAGTCTAGGGCAAATAATTGCAAATCTCTTCAGTGAGAATGTCACAAAATGAGATGCATTGTGGGACATGTAGTTTATTGGCAACGTGCTTCAGTAAAGTATCATGTAAACGTATAATAAACTTATTTTTAATTCTTTGCAAGCTCTTGCGGGGCCGCAGAAAATGAAGTCGCGGTCCGGATCTGGCCTTGAGATTGACTCCCCTGCTTTATGGACTTATACACCCTGGAGATTGGTGTTGACCCTCCATTATCCTCCAGATCTGCTCCACCATAGAGTGGTGCAGTGACGAGTCCTAAAACCAGGAAGTGAGTTAGCATTTCACCACTTCCTGTTCGTCTCAGAGCCAATGGGATCTCTCCATAGGATTTAGGAAAATATCTGTAAATAAGGTCTGTGGTTGAGACACATTGAAGAGACGGATCATGTTTTGTTCTAGGACATTAAATCCATCAGCAGTGACCCCACTGGTGATTTCTGAAGAGTGGACGTGTCTGAGAAACGATGGTTGTTACCAAGTGGCTGAATAGGACTACAGAAGTTGCTCCATTTCGGGTTCAGGAGTTCCTCAAAGTGTTCCTTCCTCCACCCTAACTACCTATCAGTTGAAGCCATAAACGTCCCATCCTTACTGTCCTGTTCACAGCTTAGAAGAACAAGATGAAGAAGATAGGAAAGAGATCAAGGAGCTAAATAAGTAATGAAGTAGGTAAGAACGTAATAAAGGAGGTAAGGACAAGATAAATCAGGTTGAGATAAAGAAGTTAAGGAAGGTAATGAAGGAGTTAGGAAAAGATAAAGGAGATAAGGAAGTGATAAAGGAGGTTAGGAAGCGATTAGGTAGGTTAGGAAGTGATAAAGAGGGTTAGGAAGTGATTAAGGAGGTTAGGAAGTGATAAAGGGGGTTATGAAGTGATTAAGGAGGTTAGGAGGTGATTAAGGAGGCATGAAAGTGAAGATGTGAGAGGTGAATCACAGGCTGAGTTCCTGGATGTCATTCAGCCCACAGAGAGAGCAGAAACCCCCTGAAGCTTTCATCAGTCCTGGAGAGCACGCACACACACACACACCACACACACACACACACACACACACACACACACACACACACACACACACACACACACACACACACACACACACACACACACACACACACACACACACACACACACACACACACACACACACCCTTCCTTAAAAAACCCTTTCAACTCAGATTTTGAGATGTAGAGTTTATACATAATGCTTCATTTGTATATTTAAACATAACAGTTCAGAATATTTTACCCTATTCACCGGCAGTGTCTCCCCTTAACTCTGATTTGGAAAGATAAACCTGTCTGCATGTTTCAAAACTGATCTTGTCATATTTAATTAGCATCAAGATGTCTGTCCGTAGCTCAGAGAGATTTTAAATATATATTTATATGTTTGTTTTTTATCTCAGCCTCAGACTTTCTCATAATAATAAATAAACGCTTCTTTAAAAATTCCCTGTAAGCGTTTAGAGGAGGAAGCAGGAAGTCTCGTTGATAAAGATCGAGCCGTCAGGCAAACCAGGTCAGAGACGAGCTGGCAGCGTGGGCTCAAACACACACCACACACACACACACACACACACACACACACACACACACACACACACACACACACACACACACACACACACACACACACACACACACACACACACACACACACACACACACACACACACACACACACACACACACACACACACACACACACACACACACACACACACACACACACACACACACACACACACACACACACACACACACACACACACACACACACACACACACACACACACACACACAGATACGTGATGGTGATGATGCAGCAGAGTCACATCCTGCAGAGAACAGAGAGAGAGGGGAAACCTCTCAGAATCGAGGGGCTTCGAAGTGAATCAAATATATTTGTTAATAGGTTTCTGCTGTTGCATCAAACATAACAGACGGATGTGACTCAGAGAAATGTTGATCGAAGATATTATCTCCATCCTATACAAAAAACGAATTGAGTTAGATCCGTCTCATTCCTGCTTCATGTCTTTTTGAATATATGTATTTCACTTAAAGTTTAATATTGCTTCATGCTTTGTTAAATGCATTGTTCTTTTAAAGTATAAAGTATATAGCAACCAGACTACACAGGGATTCACACTTTAATAACAATGATTGGCTGGTTTTAAAGGTGTCTGGTACAATCTAAAGTTTACAACTGAAATATGTTAAAAAAGTGTTAATAGTATACTTTAGTGAGATCATTCTTCTATCTAACTTGCGGGAAATGTTCATGCTCCAAGTATGACCTTAAACCTTTAAGTCTTCAATTCTCTCTTCTCTGGCTCCAGCTTTGGTCTCCACCAACACACCTCACTGTAGGTGCTAAATGCTCCACTGTACCTGCCTTTTATTTTAATTCTTTATAAAGAACCTCTAAACCAGTGGTTCTCAACTGGTCCGGCCTCGGGACCCACTTTTTCCTTTGTCAATAAATCGCGACCCAACGTTTTGAACCACTCAAATCTATTCAACAAAAAATCGTGCTGTAATATATATACGCTTTTCAGCATACATTATTAAAGTGAAGTACAGTGCATATATCCCTTATATCCCTTCACAGAACTAAAGTATGTTTTTAAATAAGGTTTAATGAGATGATGGAATCAAAGCTGAACTGTATAATTTTTAGAAATACTAACAAACTACGCATTCTGGTACACTCTGAGAAGAAAATAAATAAATCTATTAATAACCGACATATTAATAATATTTTATGCCATTGTTTGTTTTTCACTTTGTTCTGACAGCTTGCTGCTCCTCACAGAGAGAAGAGCAAAGAGGAGATAGTCTGAATTACTTTACTTTGTGGGTAAGGGTAGATAGCCCCCATTGTTCTGTGACCTGTCAATCATCAAACCAGGGGTCATATTTCATCATGTGTTCATTTTGATCTGAAGTTGTACCCGTGGATGTATAAAGAGTTCTACCGCAATGTTATTCTCCGTGGGGACTCAGTCTTGATTCTGATTGGCCAGAAGACTCGAAAAAACATCGGCAAAGATGTTTTATTGAGAAGAGGATCACTACGTGACAGACGTTTTCAAAACCACAGCGTTAGAAAATCGGGCCTTCAAAATAAAAGTTTGACTTTCCCCGCCCAAAAAAAAAGAATTCCCAATTTCTTTTCACATTTTTTTTTTTCTTCCCTCACACATCCACTCGAAACGGTTCCTAGTTAAAACCTCGAACTGCAGAAGAGTTCTTCAGAATTGATTTGGCATCCGCCGTGTCAACTCGTGACACACCACCTGTCTTATCAATTCTCCGGCCGAAGCTCCAAATAACCCATCAGTGTTTGCCTCTGATACCTCTTTCACACCAACGGTGTTTCAGGGCCGGTTCGGAGCTGGATCTTGAAAAGCACCGGGTGTTCCTGTTCACACCGCAGCGGAGCAGCCTCTAAGCTCCGGAATCCGGTTCGTTTCAAGCACCAAGAAATTGTCCGGCTAGAGCAAAAGCACCGCATACGTCACGCTTACGTCGAGGCGGGGGGGAATCGGAATCGTCGTTGAAGTTGATGATTACGATAGTAAAGTAGTTTTGAATGTAGCGTGTAACGACTGTAAAGTTGGCAGTAAAGTCGTCCCATTTCTTCCATTTCGTTTCGACAGAGCAAAACCAAAAAACGAGTAGCGCTTCAACACAATCGGCCATTGTTGTTGTCGTCGGTGTGAGCTGTGAGGGGTTTCCGTGCGGTTTGGCTTTATGAAGCAGGCACGCAAACGGTTACGTCATGACGCAAACGATGACGCAATGACGCAGCACCAGTCGGACTCTGGGCGGTGTGAAAAGAGCCGGAGCTAAACCGAAGAACCGGTTCTGAACCTGAAAAGCTCTAGCACGGAGCTTGAACCGGAGTTGCGTTGGTGTGAATGAGGTATGAGAGAGCTCTGAGAGTGAACGAGAGCAGTTGCATTCTGGGATCTTCCAGGTTTTTTTCATTCTTTCAGACATATCTTTTAGTAAAACATTCAAGAATCAACGACCCTGAACCCGCTCCTTGAAGGCAACACACACATGTTTCTATCATCCGTCTCTTTTAGCTCCAGTTTGGGTCTCCACCACCCAAAATATCTAACTTTAGGGTCTAAATGCTCCGCTGTATTTGCCTTTTTTCTGCTGTATTAAAAAGGTACCTCCAGAGAGCACCAGAACTGTTCTGGCAACTTCTTGGAAATCCAGTTTTTATTCATCCAACTAATATTGTATACAGATTTTCTCTAAAGATACCACTAAAGGCCGCCACACACCAACCTGAGACCAAAGAACGCGTACCGAAGGCGTCCCGACTTTTACGTCCGCTACGTCGGCTACGCCGCCCGCCTACGCCGCCCGCCTACGCCGCCCGCCTACGCCGCCCGCCTACGCCGCCCGCCTACGCCGCCCGCCTACGAACACACCGCAAAGACTTCAGTTGACGAGTGGCAATAACTGTCCTTACCAGCAGGCAGCGGTAGTGTGTATTCGTCATTCAAAAGAGGCAACAACCGGAAGACAGACTGCATTATACACCGAGAGAAGAAGAACAGGCTGCGTGATATAAACAAACAACAAATAGCGTCTGGGTTCCATTTTCACTCTCTCTCGTCGCTTCTCATGCACTGACTCGCTAAGCTGAACAGCCAATGAGTGAGTGAGTGATTTCTTTGTCCCGACTTTCTTTGGCATGTTGAATCGGCCGTGGGAGGTGTGAAAATGTGCCATAAAGAGACGACGGTGCGGGACACACCAACCTGAGTAGGGCGCCGCGAATGCCCGACTGCCTCTGACGGCCTCTGACTCCCAAAATCGGGTTGGTGTGTTAGGGGCTTAAGAGAGCTCTGATGCGGCTTTCACACCAGCGCTTTTCCCTTTCTAGCTCCTAGCGAGAGCTTTTCTGGTTCAGCTCCGGTTTCCCTTTTCAGCTCCCGCTCTGTTCACACCGCCCAGAGCTGCCGCTGCTGCGTCATGACGTCACAGTTTACGTCGCTGATATTCTCCCACAACAACAACGGGCCGGGGACTGCGTCGGGTCGATGATCGTGTTGCTTTTAATCATACGAAGCCAGATTAAATTAAATAACGACTTCTCCAACCTTATACTTTTCTCCAGAGTGCCGTGGTTCATTGTTTATTAATGTGTTTCAGCGGCATTTACCGACCGCTGCAGTGCTGGCTGCTCTTCCACGGGAGTTTATTCTCTCGTTAGCTCCGGGTTAGCTCACACGGCTCTAAAGTATTCACTGTCTGACTGTCACACAAGCAGCTGATACATATCCCCAGTTCCCCTTAAGTGAATGTGTGTCAGTCTGAATTGACGCTGTTTGGCATCACAACGCTGTTATGAAAGTTTCTCTGGTATAACATGGGTGATGTTAGCATAGCAACCGAAGCTAAACTGACTACTTGCTAAGCCGTGTTCTACAGGCACATTTTACCGGCTTATTTTTCATTATGATTCTACTTGTGATAGTCGGACATGACAACCTGTGCAGCCCATGTATTGATTCCATCCGATAGCTGCTATAATAACAAACAAAACGTCTGCCTGCTCTCCACAATGATCAATAACAGCGAACGGATGGTCAAAGTAAGGTTTCCACGCCTCGACGTAAGAGACGCCGCGTCATAGCTCTGAAGCTCTTGCCTCTGGACCGACAATTTTTTGGAGCTGGAAGTGAACCGCATTCTGGAGCTATGACGCGCCGCCGCTGCGGTGTGAACAGGAAAAACCGGCGCTTTTCAGGCTCTAGCTCCCAGCAGGAGCTGGAAAAGCGCTGGTGTGAAAGCCGCATCAGAGAGCTCTGAGAGTGAACGAGAGCCGTTACATTCTGGGTTTTTTCCCTTCTATAAGACATATTTTTAAGAAAACATGCAAGAATCAACGACCCTAACCCTGACCCTTGAAACACAAACAAGTGTCTCATCCATCTCTTTTAGCTCTGTTTTTGGTCTCCACCACCAACAAAGATCAGTCTCTAAAGGCGTTTCACAGCCTTCTCTATGAAAGAAAGATCACCACCAAGTTAAAGCCATAACAGTACAGTTTTAATAATAAAAACATTGATTGTAGAGAAGTTTTGTCATGTTAAGATCTTCAAATACAAATCCCTGGAGACTTCCTCGTAAATCTACAAAAGTGGCGGAGAGTAAAGTCAAATCTAAAGAGTAAGAATTACAATCATCTGGGTAACTTTACTCACATTTATACATGCCTACTCAAAGTCGAGTCATTTGTTCCTAAATCTACAAACATGCAAAGTACATTTTTGTAATTGCAGTTCAGATCTTTACTTGTGAGAAAAGTGGCGGAGAGTAAAGTCCAATCTAAAGAGCTAACATGCAGAATTATAATGATCTGTGTTGCGATCGAGTAAGTGTGCTAAGCATTCAAAACTGCAGCCTTTGGAAATGCTTTGATAGCCACTAATAAATGAAGCGATTTGTGCACTGACAGACAAAAATGCATTACCGAAATAATGAATACGTGGGAAAAACCTAGAACGTTTCCAAACAAGGTTACCTGATTACTAAGCGTTTTGTATTGCACATCTCTGCAGCGTTGTGTCTGAGGTCGAAGAGGAAAAGGTGACCCAGAAAAGATGCCGCGGTTTTGTTTGCAGAATACTGTGAAAGTGGGTCGAGCGTTCGGGCCTCGTCATGTGCGGTTTAGAGAGGAGGATCAAAGGGGGAACAGAAGCAGAAGAGGAAGGTGACATCATGACAGGAAGTACTGCGGACAAGGATAAATACGGGCAGAACACCAGCGAAGAAGAAAAACAGCAACACCTGTACCTTCAAGTGAGAAAGCCAGCGAGCATCAGGTGCAGAAGATCAAACATTCACATCTGAATATCGGCAAAGAAGAGACCAAACGTCAGGATGTCTTCAGCAAATAACTCCTCCAAAGTCACGGTAAGAGCATCTTCATTTGAACTTCATGTTTGGATTTAAAAGTTTGATTTGATTTGATTTATTTCGAACGTGTAAAAGAATAATACAAAAGAAAATATTTATAATGAAATGAAACAAGAGAATTATGATACTGTACAAACTTAAGCAGTGTCCAATTGATAAACAAAATATTATTGACTTACAAATTATATATAAACGTCTTAATATAAGCAAATAAGACACAACAAAGTAGATTATTAAACGTGTTAAAGGACCAATAATCTGTTTAATTTATGATCAAAATGAATACAGTTATTAAATCAGTGTGATTTCCATAGAAGCTTCAATTCAGTAATCTGCATTGCAACTTTTTTGCTGGATGTTAAACTAAAAATACATTGAATTAATCATTTTAATTCAACGTATTTAATCAATATTTGTGTGTATTTTAGGGGCATTTTAGTCTGGATTAAAAATGTTATTAAAGTCATTTTTTTTAAACAGAAACACACAGATCATTCAATAAACATTGCAAAGAAAAACAAAACAAATGTGTTAAAAGTTACATTTTCCCTCCTCTTCCTCAGCTTTTCTGTGTGGTGGCGATGATGATGATGAAGATGATGATGGTGGAGGCAGCAGCAACGCCCAAAGCAGGCGGCCAATCAAAACACCCGAAGACCCACACCGAGGCCCCTGGTGGTGCGGAGGCAGAAATGATCCCGCTGCAAATCGACAACAAGTTCTTGAAACATTACAGAAGTGTTCGGCCGCTGCAGAACGCCTCCATCTCCCCGTGGACCAACAAGTAAGGAAACACACATGTCGTATTTCTGTGTCTGTCCCTGAAGGCAGCATCTCCCTCGTCCAATGGGATTCCTCCATGTGATTTTGAACGATGTCAGAAAAGAATCTCTGTCTGAGAAGTCAAAAGCTAACGTTAGGATATAAAGCAGGGGTGTCCAAACTACGGCCTGTTGTTCTAATTGGCTCTTTGCAAATTCTTAAAGTATAATGGTGTATGGCCCCCACCTGAAACTGTCTTATATTGTACTTCTTAAATATATATGTGAGCCTATATTACACAGTAGTATTCATGTGTTAATAATTTCACTATTCAAAGACATTCAGTCAATTAGAGCTGAGAACATGTTCTAACTAATCTTAGTTTTATTTCCACAACAAGCTTTAAATAGACCCTTCAAATGTCCCCTTATTATAATCAATCTGAGGCTTCTGATTTAAGGGATGAGCTGCAACAGGATAACTGAAACCCTCTGGGATGTTTCTTAAATTATATTCAAGTAGAAAGCATCATTGACCTACATTTGATTGATTTTGCTGAATGATAACTTACCCTATGATGCAGTAAACCTCTCGTGAGTGTATGTGTTTCTGTACGTGGCCCTCAGTGGAAAAAGTTTGGACCCCCCTGCTGTAAAGAAACTACAGCACGGTCACATGACTTCACGTTCTCGTTCAAGTGTCCTTTTCAAGACAATCAATATATATTTGATTGATGTGTATACTAATGTTGTCCCTCCTCTCTCTCCGTCCACAGCATAACTAACGATGCCACCCTCGTGCCTCCCTTCCTGTCCGAGGCTCGCTGTCTTCTGCGCGGCTGCCTGGATTTGGACGGTGTCGAGGACTTGAACCTGGAATCCCGACCCATAATGCACCAGGTGATGCTGCTGCGGCGCGTCAAATCTAAGGGGGCGGAGCCTGGGTACCACTACAGGCTGGAGTCCCGCCTCCTCGCCGTGGGATGCACCTGCGTCCGGCCCACCGTCCAGTACCAGGACTGAATCAGAATGGACAAACCAGGAAAAAACATCTCTATTTATCTGACTTTAAATTGGTTTAAATTATGGTTTTGTATTATTTATGTTTTATAGGTAGAACTTATATCTACAGCTCGAGTCATATATTAGCTTTATAGCCCAACATTAGCCACCTTTAGCTTAGCGGTGGTGACGTGAAGTTATGTGACCGTGCTGCACCTATTACCAGATAACACATCATTTCCCTAATTTAAATGTCTATTTGTTCTTTAATAATCTGCTTATTTTCCATATGTATTTATATTCTAACTACAGTCCGGAGCTGGAGTTTAAAAGCGCTCAGTTTATCATTGGATGTGTTTCGTATATGATGTTTATTTATAGGTGTAGTTTATTTAAAATTAATATTTAACTTGGAGGTATTTATTGGAGGTTTCGTATTACTGTTAATGTATTTATTTGACTCAATAAAAACAAAGGATGAACAAAGAAGTAACGTGTCATTGATTTATTATTCGATTTAAAATATAATGTGATTTCTGTACAATATTTATCATCAGTATCATCATCATCATCATCATCATCATCATCATTCCTTAACACAGCCAGTGAAACACACACACACACACGAGCTGTAAACACTTGACATAATATACTTTCACCAGTAGGGGGCTGAAATGTAGCTTCAAATGGTAGCATTAGTGCTAGAATGCTAATGTTTGTATAATGTCTTGATATTCAGAAATATAATATAACTACAAACTTGAAAATAAAACAAACCTTGGGAGGTGTGAAAGGAGATCGATACTCAGGTCTAATCGTGTTTTCTTTTGTGGTGACTTATTAATCGTCTCGGACTAATCACAGCCTCTCCAGATCTCCTACAAAATCACGTTCCCATTACGGTCACATTTTGAGAACCATTACACGGGTAAAAGTTGTGTTTGGTTTGACCCACACACTCACATTGACCTTCACCTTATAGGGAATTTGGTTAAAAGCGTACTTGTGATACTAAATACCATCTAAACATAATTGACTGTACTGTTTTGTTGAATAAGAACGTAATTTGTAGGAGACCAGGTTTCTCCGTGAGACTCTTATTGGTATAATCTATATTTGAACTGTCTCTGTACCGTGGACATTTTGACCAGGACATGTCTGGATCTTGTAAGCGTTGTAACTCCTTTGACTTTCTTGGCGTGTTTTTAACCGAACTCATCAGACTCTAAAGATCTCTGTGACTCAGACTTGTCTCAATTGCCCAAATGTATCTGAGCTTGATGGTCTCGTTTGTGGGTCTTTTGCCTCATCCTTATCATGCCATTTTCTTTTACCAGGACACTTAGTATCAGACACACAACTATCTTTGGTCTAATCGAAGTTCAGTATTGGTATTGGGTTTGTCGGACCTGTGTTTGAACACCGTCTTGGCTCACTTTAATTCCCTTAGATATCACTTAAGAGCCCAGGATAACTCTCTTTATTATGGTTCTGTTTCACAATAACTGTAAGTATCTAGACTTGGCAGCAGATGGAGCTGTTTCACTCAGAATTGTTGTCCATCCAGATATCAGATTCCACCATATCCAATCTTCTCGGCTCTTTTCTGGACTCACTTCTTGTTTCGGTGATGTTTCCTTTGGGTCACGGTCCAATTTCAGTTTCAGGTGTGGTCAAACTTTCCAGAATATTCCTTGATACGTACACAATCACACATGAACACATTGGCACTGTCGGCGCAGTAAAACCTCCGTGAGCCGTCTGATGATGAAGATGCAGCGTCCTTGAGAAGAAGTGATTATCCCGTTATTAAAGAGTCTATCTCGTTAAGAAGAGTCCTGGTTGTTCAGAGGAGGTCCAACCTTCAGTCCTCCTCCTCCTCTCTGTTCTTCTTCTCTGACTCTGTTTATGTGAGTCTCTTCCTGTCAGACTCCAGTTGGAGCAGCGCCGGCTCTTCAGTCCTCAGATCATCCGCCCTTGGAAATGGCTTCCAAATTGATTTCAGCTTGTGTTGTGATCAGGCCATCAAGACACCTGCAGCGGAGGAAAGAGGGTGGAGGCGTTAATGCAAGGTCATGAAACACTTTCTGGATCAAAACATTGATCTATTGGGTTAAAAGGGATCAAATTGAGATTGTAAATAAAGAAACTTTCAATGTGAATGTTGGCAAAGCCTCTCATAAAGATATAAAATGTGAAACTACCCGACTTTGTAAGGATCGCCCAACCAACCCTCATCAATGACAATTTGGTACTTTTTCAAGGGTAATTGTGTAATGATAATGCTCACACTCAATACATAACGTCTGCATTGTCAATAGTTTGCAGAGAAAATGTTTTTTATGAAGAGAAAGTCCTAATGCTGCAGCAAAAACGATATTTCAGACTATAGTGATCTTCCACTATGGTGTCGACAGATGTGGAAATACCTTATACTGTTTTTAAGCCTTTTGTTAATTGATCTACAAATCTAAAAAGGTACATTTTGATATTTAAGGAAATTATTTAACCACTGTCTTTACCCTGGTCTAAAAGTCAATGGTTTTTTGAATGTGTTTGTGGTTGTTAGCCTGAAACAAGCTCAGTGGGTTAACAGAAGCTGAAGAGATTATAACACTGCTAACAATTTTCGTCAACATTAGCCGCCTTTAGCTTAGCGGTGGTGACTCGTGTAGTTTCCTTCTCAACACTGTCTTTATATTTTGTGTCAGTGCGTCTACCCAGAATCCCCTCTGTCTCCTCCAGCTCCTCCTCACCTCCACACTGTGCTTGTCCTGAAAGACACAAACAGAAACTCCCGTTAGTGATTCATTCATTCATAAAAACACCAGACATCTCAATAAGAAAGACTGAAATCGGATGAAAACAGCTGCTCTCTCACCTCCTCCTGCAGTCTCTCCTGCGATGCGTTCAGGTGCTCCTGTGATGCGTTCAGGTGCATCTGCCGCTGCTCTTTATAGGCGTCGGCCCGATGCTCCTGGCGCTCTTTGGTCAGAGCTTTCTGAGCGACTTCACGCTCGTGCTCCCTCCTCTCGGCCAGGTGCTTCAGCAACTCCGCCTCGTGACACTAGAGGGCGACAGAGGAAGGGTTAATGTCAGTTTTATACCTGTGTTTGCTTGTTTTTAGGTTCTGGTTCTCCAACAGAATCTCATGTTTTGGTCAGATCTGACAGAAGAACGGATCATTCAAACACAGTCTAAACATAGAAGAGTTTCTTGATGGTCTTATGCTTGGTTTGATTTTTTAATGTCTTAGATAATCATCACTTGTAACACCGTGAAATAAATTCTGGGGTTCCTCAGGGATCGATACTAGGGCACCTTCTCCTTTAGTTTGGTACATTATTCTGTCCACCAATTGAATGTGTTTGCTATGTCACAACCTTTCTTGCAAAGGCATTTTCATTTAGCATCAGAACAAACGGTCTTCTCTCAGAGTAGTTTGGGCAGTAGTTGGCGCTATAGGCTAATCTCTATTCCAGTAAACAGAGGAGACATCTAACCATCTACAAAATAGCTACTTTTGTCTAACGATAAATGCTGACAAACACATATGTCAGCACCAACAGCTGATCAGTCATGTGACCTAAATGTTTGCTATGTCACAACTTATTCTGCAAATATAGCATTGAGTCTCGCAAAAAACACTTTCCACATTTTCATTCTTTGCAGTTATCATCGACTTTTTATCAAAAAAATACATTCCTGGAAACACCCTATTGTGATCGTGTTAGCATTAAGCTCAAATGACTCTTAAAGGGGTTCAACTAAATGAGTTAGAGAACTAATGTGATGTTATTCCACCCACCTTCCTCCTCTCCTGGGCGGCGTCCAGCTTCTTCTGGATCTCCTCCAGAGAGGGCTTCTGGCGGGGGGGTGTGGTTGCTCTCAGCTCGGGGCCGCCGTCGAACGTTGGCGGCTTCAAGATGACTTCGAAGGCCTGGCCGCTCGAACGCTTGCTCAGCTCGATCACCTCCATGTGCCGGATGTTGCACAGGTTCAAGTCCACAACGCCCGCTGTAAGAAGAAGAGCAGGGGATCAGTTAGAGAGCGTAGAAATAAATCACTTCTCAAGTTTCAAGTTTCAAGGCTTTATTGTCATGTTCACAGCTACAGTAGATATGGCAATGACAAACTGTCCCAGGCTCCTTTGAAAGAACATTCATCTGTTTGCAACTTACATATATCAATATTCCAATTACTTGTATAATCTGCACTATTTCTATTATATTCTATTTTATTCTATTTACTTGCACTATGTTATCTGTTTTAATGTGTTGCTCTGTTGGAGGAGCCTGTGACCTCAGATTGTCATTGTCATATCTCCACTGAGCTCACATGACAATAAAAGCCTTGAATCTGAATCTTGTAGATATGGCAAACTGAAGTCAAAGGCTCCTCCAACAGAGCAACGTGAATATATATATAGGACATGAAGAGTGCAAGAGAATGTTTTGAGATGTGCAAGTAAATACAAATAAAATAGAAATAGAGCAAGAAATATCTGCAGCGAGAAGCTAAGACTTCATCGACTGCTGACTTTTAGGGTTTGAATAATGCCTGCAGTCCAGAGACAAGCCTTATAGGTGAAATGAAGAGATACTGGGTGTTTCTCAATCGCGAGTAAAGCTGCTTCAGAGCCACTATTTCAAGCATACTACGTCATCGAGTGCCGCCGAAGTACTGTTCCAATCTCCAGCATACTTGGAAATCTACCGAGCCCGGCGTACTCCGTTTGGAGAAATATCGAGGCTGCACATGAGTAGGACTCCGCGGTCTTAAAATCCCCACAATGCTTTGCGCACGGACCAATTTCCCCCAAATCTGTGGCGGAAGATGTAAGAGGCGGGGCCTCTCATATGACGCACACCTGCACACTTGCTAGCGTGTTCCACTCTTTGTTTTCCGAATGCCAGGAAGTATTCTTGACTCGCTTCTGAAGCTAGATGCTCGGCAGACATGTGCTACCAAGCAAGCGTACTCGAGATTGAGAAACACCCACTGACTCCCTCTTACCCAATGCATGCTGGGAAAGGCTGACCTTTTTGTAACCCTATGGCTATCTTCTTTCTATGTCAACAGTTTATTCGTATTGTTTTTATTAGCATTCCCAGTATTGTGAGCCTCTGCGTTGCATCTTTTACTGATAGTTGGAACTTGGTATTATCAGTGGAGATTCTAGAGTGTGTGGGCGCCCTAGGCAACATGAACCTGTTTCTATTTACATTTTGTAAGTTAATTAACATTCGTACATAGCACTAACTTTGAACTAATATTCTAATATTTTATGAATCTATTG